AAAAAAAGGTAAATTATGCTCTGTTAGTACTGCATCTACACTCTTATTTTGGTAGCCACCATCACAAATATTCCCTGCCTATGGTTTAACATACTCTGTGAGTTGTCATCAGCTCTGAATGCTTTGATCATCTTTTTCTACCCAAACTGGGCCAGTTTCCAGACTGGCAGATGTGTGCATTTGACATGAATATGGGTGGCAGTTTGAAGAACAATAAAGCAGGCAATGGAATAGGGATGGGGGAAGTCAGTGAAGAACTCTCTGTGAAAACAGCATTAGAGCAAGGCATGAAGAAGATTAATACCATGTGAATGTATATAGAAGAGCTTTCTGGGTAAATATGAAGGCTCTGAGGCACCATCCTCTTTGGTTTGTTAAAGGAATAGTAAGAAGACAGATATATGTGGACCAGAGGGGGCAAATTAAAGGAGGGAAGGAATTGAATTCCAGAAGGTATTGGGGAAGAGCGGCAGATCACATAAGGCCTAGTAGTTCATAAATAGGTTTTGTACTTTACTTTATCAACCCTCCCTGTAATAGTTGCCTCCCCTCAACTCCACACTGCAAGTTGCGTGAAGGAATGGAAAGAGTAATTCTTACGTTATTCTGTCAGTACCTAGGATAGTGCCTGCTTCATAAGACAAATTCACTAAATATTTGTTGAATGAATGAATAAATTAATGAATGAAGTGAAAGCCATATTCTAGTAGACATGAGTAGGAATGTTATTTCAACTTGAATTCTGAAGCTTGGAGGCAGGATCTGGTCAAATCTGTGCTACTCAATTCAATGCTGTGCTCAGTAGAGCCTCAGGACCATCAGAGATGCTGTGTTCTCTAAATTCCTAAGATACTCTCCCAGGTATACGTGGTTCACTGGGGAGAATGCACTTCAATTACCTCCATGAGAAATAAACGTATACTTTAATTGTGAATTAGCATATTTCATATTTTAGACTTTTTAGTGTTTTGTGGACACTAAATCTCACAAGAATGATCACAGCCTTCACAAGGCTAATCTCTGCCTTGGATTCTGAAGCAGCACTTTCTACTCTTTGGTGATTTAATTGGGCATATGTTAGGTCTCTCATAGCTGAGTTCCTTATTACACTTGCATAATCATCCGAGCTATAAATCTTACTATTAGAAAACAGTAAAGTTTCATTCTTCCAAAAACCAATAAATAAAACAACACTAAACTAAAAAATCCCCCAGTTTCAGTTAACATTTCTTAAAAACAAAATGTAAGATGATTCAATTTGTCTTAAGGTATAAACTTCCAAAAATATTCAAAAACATTCAAGAAATTAAGGCTGAACATCTCAAATTGGATGTCTGAAACAGTTGATTTAATGTTACCAACTGCATTATGAGCATGAGTTTTTTTGAAATTATCCTAGGTGTGAGCGCTTCATGTGTTTTCTTGTTTCTTTTTCTGTTACACTGCCTAACATATAAAAAACATTCTTAGTTGTTACAATTATCATTCAGTGCACCTGACTGTCAAAGAATATGCAGTTTGTGTGATGTGAGGATTTAGAAAAGTAATTGGTCCCATTAGCCCGGGGAAATATTCTTTGAAGACCTATTTCAATAGAAATAGCCACTAAGGATTTGCTGCCTTGACCACCCCTATTCACCACTTAAAACTTTTTGTCTGACATCTAACTTCCTCTTCTTCTGCTTCTTTCCTTCTCCTCCCTCACCCCCTTTTTTAACCAGGTTTCCCTGATACTGGGAAGAAAGAAAAGTGATAAGAGATGAACAAGTTGGTTTTCTGCATCATCTATTTGAATTAATTGTTGAAAAAAAACTCTAGGGAAAGAATGGACTTGAGGAAAGCCTTAGCTTTCAATAGTAAGTTTTTGATCTATTGCAATCAGGGTATGAAAAGAGCTCTGATAACACTGTGGCTCTGTTTTCCATTTTGTTTTCTTTTGTTTTTAATGGCCATTTCAATTTAAACATCCAGTACAAAATTTGATCTGCTTGACTCTGAGGACAGCAAAATTTTCCTTTAAATGAAATTTGTGGAGGTAAATTCACTTACATTAACACGCAGAAATTTTAAGAGTGTAGTTC